CACAGCAATTTGATGCTTGTTGAACATGCTTATTCTGAACATCAGCCAGTTTCGATAACCGCAACTCCGTTTGGGTCGCGTAGGCAGACACGCCAGACCGCGGCTTCAACGTACCTGATCCAGTGTCAGAGTTTGAGCCTCGACAGAAGATAGTACGTTCTACTGTGAATGCTGCATTGATATTTGTCTCATATAGCATTTTATAGCAGAGTCATCCAGGCTACCCATGGACCACCGTCTGCTTTATTCATAAAACAAATTCTTTCGCATTCCATTTTTCATTGTCTTCATCGGCAGTGGCCTATCTTCCGATCGTGCCATTCAACTTCCGTCATGGACAGCGTCCCACCGCAGCTTTGACGATTTGTCGGGTCGTAATCGTGTCATCGTCAAACTAACATTCAAAGAACAGTTAGCTTCCTGCGCATCATTTTATATTTCATGGGGCTGTTTGACCTACTGTCTACAGTCCTTCGGTGCTTGAGTATTATTCGATCATTTATTTGAACCGCCACTATGTTGAATGACAGGCGGTTGAGCAGTAACTTCACAACTGACGATTTACTGACACTGATTTATCCAAGTATTTTTTGCATTTACCGGATAGCGTTTACATCAGAGGAATTCTACGTCACTTAATTATACCGTGCGTAATTCATTCGTTCAAGAGTATTTTTTCTAGGGAGACAGTGGGGGACCGCTGCAATGTCTTGGTCTCGATGGAAGGTACTACTTGAATGGAATTTCCAGTTCCAAGATTACATCGGAGTATGGGCGGTGCCCGTCACGTTTCACAGCGGTTGCAGTATTTGCGGATTGGATCAATACAACGATTCACACTTACAAGAGCACATTACCGCCGAAACAACTACGTTTTGCTGCGAAAGTTTTGAGTTTCTTTTCTTTTCCGTTGATGATTTTTTGGCTGCTGTTAGGCTGGTGACAGGGATTTGTGTTAAAGCAATGTGAAATCATAATCCTGCGATACAGACTGTGACAACTTTTCTTAAATCACCAATGCAATAAATGCTTTGTGTTATCCATGTCAACAACAGAAAGGATGATAGGGAATAATCATAATCGATGGTCAGCAGCCAGAGTCAGAAATTACTTGCTGTTTGTTCACTTGTCCGTTTAACTGGTGGGGAAATGCCGTCAGAAATTATCGCTGAGGTTCAAGATCTTACGGCAATGCCTGAGTGTGGACAGACGAGATCCAAAATCTTAGGCAACTTTCATGGATTTGTGTTTCAATTCATTCTTCGTCATGAGAGTTTTCTGCCTAGCGGTAGGGCACAACATTGTTATGGGACAATCTTTTTCAGTAGTATTCGCGATACGTACCTGAATTGTTGCAGTAGCGACCTTTATGTTCCAAAGGGTTCTCAGAATCTGAATCTTAAAGGAAAATCTTTTAACCTTTAACGTGTAACAGAATTTTCGCAATATGATACTTATAGAGATCATCACAGCAGGGTATACGTTAACATTGCATTGTCATCTTGCTGCCATTCACCTTCACAGTGGGGTCATCTGACCAAGCCATAGCTCCACTGTACTTCGTCACTTGCAATACATTAACTGAAAATCCAAATATCAGTTAAAATATGCCAGCGTGTAGTTGTGGCAAGAACAAAATAAATAACCTCCATTAGGTAATGCCTATTAACTCTCACGCATAAATAATTTGTCTTACTTAACAAGGTCTCTAAAGCATGTGAAGCACGCGCAATCAGTAAGAGTTTCTCAAAAAGTTTCACTCGTCACCCGCTTATATTCGAGATCGATTGTTAACCATTGCTCATAACTGCCCATTGCAGATATTCAAAGTGAAAAAAATTGACGCTGGATGATGCCGCGTGCATATGACGAAATTCATTTCCGAATAACATGCGCCAATTCACTGCTTCTTACGTTGCGTAATTCACCAAAATTTTCAATGAGCTGACTCTGAAAAATTAATCCTTTTCCACTACATCGGTCGTCAACAGCAGGGTTTGTTTAAACCGTTCTATGAGCTCGTCAATCAGTTATATTTCCACCTGCACAGAAAGTGACTACAAATTAGATTCTGCAATTCCTCTTGGTAATAGATTGCGCTTCTTCATGATGAGGGAAGACACTATATGCGAGGACTTTCAAATTCGTATTTCAGGGTATGCCATTTATTCCCATGTCTCAACACTTAAATGTGATTATATTAAAGCATTCAAGAATAGCCAACTACACGAGGGAGACTCAATATCTCAAATTATTTTAAAATTGAATTTCATTGCAACTACACATGCCATTTATTTGGAGCACATTGTTTTGCTTGTATTACTGAATTTGTGGTTTCAGTGTTTTGGAAAAAATGGTTTTAAAATGCCTTAAAATTATTTCATATTAAACGAACGGACAATTAGCTGATGTCATGCTACTACTGTGTCTAATGTAGTCTGAAATTGTTTTCAGCATAAAACTAAAATTTACTTCATTTCCCTCGTAAACTTTCACTGCATAATGTTTAAATCGATCATGCGTAATCCTGATTAAGGTACATATGACAAATTGTTACTCGAGAGTACTTCTAAATATGGATGATGAATCATTTAGGCGTGAATTTGGTTCAAAGTTGACTTTCTTTACGGGATGACACGTACTGTACCTAATTCTACCGACGGGTACTGAGAAATTCTGTTTGTTATACGGCTTTCCATATCAATGGGTCAAGCATGAAGAATCGGCTATCCGAAACGCTGCAGAATTTATATACAACTAATTGCATATGCGGTGTAATCCCGTAAAAGTCTTGCTGAAACTCAATACATCTAAATGAGAGGGCCATAGTGTGCTCCTCAACGATGACAAAATTGGTCAATTCTCCTCATCGAAACTTTCCAAAGGTACCTTAGCGCGTGTTAGTCCACAAGTAAACGAAGCAAGAAAAATGTGGTCATGATAACATACGCAACAACAAATTACCGGTATAAACGGAAATAGAGGTACGACATTGGAGCTGTACCTTGACGAAACTATTCACTCGGCTCATGCAACAAACGGCGATTGTGAATAATATTTTACAGCGCGTCGAACTCGCATAAGTGGATATTAATAAACTGCATTGAATGATGAAACGCGAAACAATAGAATTATTAGCAAAAGTTGCACTTTCGTCATTGAGTAGGTATTTTCGGCCCTGGGGGGCACATCCCGGGAGAACACTGCGGAGGAGCGTTTGTCAACGTAAAAACAGCAAACCACAGGATATTACAAATATTAAATCCTAAAACAGTGTTTACAAAGAGTGGAGAAGTTTAACAGACAAACATAAGGACTGTTCTTCTGGTACCTAGTCTGGTATGTTAGATTCCATGAAAATAACAGAAAGTGTGACCGCTCGAATGTTGATCTTCCTTTAGCGTCATGATTGGGCGATTTAAGCGTCCTTCGTTTCAGAAGGCTGATAAAGCAGTGTTGATCGCCATTTCTTGCCATCAGCCAGGAGTGCTTTATTTTAATGGAAGAGTCTAAACATGTGCCAGTGGCAGCGTGTAGTTTCGCGTTTCTTTCCACAACGTGGTGCTCATTTATCAGCTGATGAAAGAAGAAGGGCGAGTGTCTCATCCAGGGGCTTGACTCGAAATCTATCGTTCTGAGTTGGAAGATTTACCGACCGAGCAATCTCATTCTGAAGCAATGAGTGGTGAGGGAACGCTTGATTTGGACAATGAACGAACATTTTGACGGTCAGGCTCAACAAACCGCGCCATACCGGCATAAGCATCCTCCTGTCGTTGGCCATAAACCGTGCGTTCTTTTTGGCAGGAGAGGCATTGGAGAAAATGTGACTGAGAAAAAGAACCTGGCCTTACTAAGACAGCTGTTTGGAATAAGCCATTTTTTGCTGGCGGTAAGCCTTCGTATAGGAACAGAAACATGACAGAAGTTCTCAAAAAATGCAGCAGGTAAAATTGAGTACTGCGGTAGAGACAAATCGGTTTTCGGCAAGGAATTCGTCCTAACTCTTATACTCCCACTCGTCAATTTATTCGAAATGAATTAGCATTAAAATTATAAATTAAAACATACACCTCTGATCTAATCAATTATCTATGAATTTCAGTTGAAAACCACTGACTCATTTCTTTAGAAACTTCTCGAAGGCACATTTTTATTAAGTAAAGGACCTACTGGTCAAAGTCTCAGTTAGCGACATTCAGACTGACAACAGGAAATTTTTGACATTCTTTACACTTGTTGCATCATTATGAATAATGAGCACACATAGTACTTGTGATGGAGCTGCGTTACACGAACAAACAAGCATTTATTTTACATTTCATACTGCAGAATCCTTTATAACAAGGTTATTGTCAATGAAACTATTACACAACTTAACCATCTAGTTCTATTACTGTACATTTGCCGCGTCCGTTGCTTCTGACCTGCTTTAAAGTAAGTGCCTGCACATGAAGGTGTTGTTCGTAAAAGCGGTTGAGAAATAGTTCGTTACAATTGTTTTACAGGATCATACTTGCTTTCTTTCGATCATATGAATTCCATATTGTCGAGCGTTTCCTGAGGTGTAATATGTCGTAGTGTGATGCGGAGGCATCTTGAATAAATGAATGTAACGTAACGTAGTTGCCAGTTATTACATTTGAATGTCTGCATCGATATTTATTAACTAATATACTTTTAATTATAACTGCATATAAGAGTATTGCACATTGTTTTGCTGCTCTACGTCAGGTACATGTCAAAAGTACTATTTTGTATGTATAGTAATTATCTTTCTGGTACAAGTGAATGTTCAAGAAAAAGCTAATAATCGTCTGCCGTGCGCAGCCTTTCATAGGTAATGTGAAAAGCAAGTACGTATGATGAAACGAGCTGCCCGTACATGCTGATAGTTTGTATTCACCATTACCGGTGGCTGTCGTCAAGCTGTAGCATGAGCCGTAAATGGTCCAATAATGGCAAAATTTGAAGCTGGCATATCTTTATATGCTTTTAATGTAGGTGAAGGCGATTCTGACTGGAAACCAGAACGAAAGGGATCGAACCTCCAATCCGAACAGAGGAAGATGTGTATCATAAAAGCTGTGGTGGACATTGCTTTTTAGCATTCCGTAGTCACCACTGAGTAAGAGATATTGATATTGATATTGACAGATTATTGACATGTTTTAAGTCTGTCTTGGAGGAAATCAGTGGTTATCGACACAGTGAGGTTCAGAACATTTTACTATCAGGCCTACCGCTTTGGGCAACAGCTATGTTTAGATCATTAGGACAATCTACGAGTGAAATTCCGATAGCGCGTTTGTTTACTTGAATTTTGAGAAAATTTTTATCTACATACTTCTATTTACTGCCACGAATTTCTGCACTTCTTTTTTACAGTAGACACTGTATCTAATTACAGAATGCGGTTTTACATAAGTAGTGAAAAATAACATAAAACGGTTATTTCATACACAACACAAAAGGTTGTCAGTCAGCTAATTGAGAATGGTTCCGATGTGTCGACCCGTATTTCAAGAGCCTTTTTCAAAATAAAGCTAATGACAAGGTTCGATGATCGTTCGGGTGGTCTGCAGTAGTTGGTATATTTGGAACTTACAGCACTTTATTCCTTTAGGGCATCGATTGAAGTTGGCAGAATGCTCGAACATCACCTTCTGAACGTTCTACAAAAAAGTGACAAAAGTTACACAGATGATGATATTGACACCATAGAAACTCGCAAGGTTCGCCCTCTTGTCAAAGCTGCAAGGAAGACTGTTCATTGGTAAAAACAGCCATGGAGTGAATGGCTGGACTATGCGACAATTTGGCATTGTCGCTCCTTGAGATTCAGATCACTGAACTCGATTGTTTATCTCCATCTCTCATCGATGCCATTGGAAAGTGTACTAACGGAGCTACCCCATCGACCGGAAAACAGTAGAGTGCTTTGAAAGAAAATGAATGAATTGCTGTTA